GCTCCTGGGGGTGGAGGTGCATATCAATGTGCAGTTCAAGGGTCTCGTCCCCCCCACGGGCAAAGCAGGTGGACAGGGTAAGGCATCGCTGTGGGGCAGGTGGCATCCCTGGGGACAAGGACAGGGCTGTGGGTGACCTCTTTGAGCCCCCCAGTCCCTGTGCTAGCCCCGGGGCATGCCTTTTGGAGGGGGGTTGAGGTGCAACCCTCTCCCTGCCCGGACCAGGTCCCAGCGGAGACCCAGCACGTTGTGACTGTCCCTCTCCCTGCAGGCGGCTGGCGGGCTGTGCTGCAGCCTGGCTCCTCTCCCCTCAGCCACTACGAGTCTCAGCTGGTGGCGGCAAATTTGTCCCCGAAGGTGACAGCAGCGGGTCCTTGCACCCTCGGGACCAGTATGAGGGGGCTGGGTGGGGGCTCACGCCTCTCCCATCCCACAGGGTTCAAGCGGAAGGAGACGCGGGGGAAGGTGGCCATCGGCATCACCACCAACTTCATCAACCGTCACAGCCGGGCCGAGGTGGAGGTGGCCGAGATCAGCGGTGTGGCCCGAATCTACAACCAGAAGTTCTTCCAAAACCTCTACAACAAAACAGGTCGGTGGTCCCAGGCCCAGCACTGGGGGTCCCCATCCTTCCCCCCTTGCAGCTGGAGGCTCATCCCTGCGTGGTGGGATGCATGTCCCCGCACGGTGCCCCATGGCAGGGGGCATCTGGAGGCTGAGCCCAGGGTGGGAGCTCCCTGTGGCCCCGGCTCTGCCCTGTGGTTCAGCCCAGCTCCTTCCCCATCACCAGGCATCGACCTGGAAAACATCGTCTACTACAAGGACGACACTCACTATTTCGTCATGACGGCCAAGAAGCAGAGCCTGCTCAAGAAGGGGGTCATCATCCAGGTGAGGGGGGCAGGAGCTCACCCCGGGACCCCATAGCGATGTGTGGCTGAAAGCCCGGCGCGTGGGATGCAAATCATGGGTGCTGGTTTGGCTGTGCACCCCTGGGATTGTGGGGGCTTTGGCAGCTGTTACCTGTGCCGGGGGGAGAATCTTCTGGGGGGCTCACAGCCCCAGGCCTGGTGACACGACTTCAGCCCAGAGCTGGCTGCACCCAGGCTGGGGGGGCAGACACCAGCTCCTGCATCCCGCCCGGCTTCATCCCCATCCCCATCCCCATCCTCATTCCCATCCCC